GTTGCTGTATGTGGGACTCGGCCTCAGGATGGACGGAGAAGTGGTGCCTCGATGCGCACCCGGGATCCGAACCCGGGCCACCAGCATTGCAGCGCGCGCACTTAACCACCAAGCCACAGGGCCGGCCCTAAACACAGATGTTTTATACAGAATCATTTTATGGCTGTAAAAACTTGGAGTACATTACTCCATTTTCATAAGAGGAAATTGACTTGTATATCTCATTTTATATAATACAAGTTTTTATATAAATCTAGCTTTTTTTTTATCATGCTTATATTTTTTCTGGCTACTGCCTCTGCTCTTCTGATAACAATACTAAATTTGGTGTTATGGTTGGACATTTTCTTTTAGACAATGTGTAATCCAAAATATCTTCTTTACATGTAAATATTATTTTTAAAAGTACGCTCATGTACCTGTCTTAAAGTTCCTGTTTTTAATTTATTTTGTATTTCCAGGTATTTCTCTGTTGTCTCCTGGAGCGGGTAGTTCTGCTTCTTTTATGCGGCCACTTTCCCTATTGAAATGTGGATATCTCTTCTCTACACTTCACCTCCATGATTGGGATTGGAAAAGGCTGCTTTTCTTTTTGTTCCACCTCTCAGAGTCAACACAGAGAAGCTCCTCGGATGTAGTCATCCGGCCAAGTTCTCCAGGAAGAAAGAAGCAACTGACATGCGTCTTCTACTGTTGTTTGCTTAATTATAAAGAAATTATTTTACAAGCTGAAGGCTGATGTTTAATTTGAAACAGGTGCTTAGATGATAGTATTTATGAATTCTTTACCTTTTGTTTGAAACAAGAAGACTAAATAAATAGCAAGTATGGATGACATCAGGGTTTTTTTCCAAATGTCTTCCAGTTTCAGCCACTATCATGATAAGCACAGTTGAGACTGCAGCACTAAATTCCAAATATGTGTTCTAATTTGAAATGAAAGAGATGCTAAAAAATTATATATATATATCTAAATCCTGGCTTGTCCTGTGACATAGATATACTGGATGAGAACAAAGGTCCAATTTTGCAGTAAAACCTTTGATGTGATAAAGAAGCTTAAAAACAAGATATCACAAGATTAATTTCATATGTGAATAAACCATCACAGTCCCTGTATAAATACACATTTTTTGCACGTGTAAATCCACATTTTTGGATGAGAAGAGGGATTTTTCTCCTAAAGAAGGAAGCTGTTGTTGACTTCTTTCTCAAAAGTCTTTGGACATTTGGTATTTTTAAATGTTTTTTCATTCTTCTGAGGAAGGACCACATTGTGCAGATGCTAACCCTATGAATGCATGCTTGGGTTTAGTGAAAGATTGGTAAAAGGAAACAGAACAGTTTTGAGTCCAATGATGGAACCCTGTTCACCTCCCTAGGATGAGAGGCTGCTGTATTACAAATTACTTCATTCTTTTTTGTGGAGTCTTACATAGCACTTGAGACTTGGTTTTCCATGCTGCTAAGGCTGGAAGAAAAGTGGCATAGTGGTTTTTCTATTCAGAAGATGTGGTGGACCCTACAGTAGTATGACCTGTCTTCAACTTTGGACGTTGAATAATGGAGGAAAAAAGTGAGAAAAGTTTCCATATAACTCCTTTCTCCTAAGAAAAAGAAGCAAAATGCCTTATGCAGCTCCACCTCACTTTATGGTATTTTACATTCTATAGCTCCATTTTTTGTAAAAGCATAAATAACTTTTCCTTTGACCCAAGATGGGTACTTGGATGTTTGATTTATTTTTCTTGATGATAGGTATAATGTTAGGCTGAAAAGGCTGGGACTCAGGTAACTTTCCTCAGTTGGAACTAAACTTGCTTATCAGAGAGTGGGCCTCAGAAGCAGTGTTCCCAGACATGTGGTTGGGTCAGTATAGATTTAGAAGAAATTTAGAGTCTGAAAAAAACCTCAAATAAGAAAAATAGTTCCAATAAGAAATATGGATCTTCCTTTCTTTCCCTTAAAACTTAATCCTATGATGAACAGACTATAGTGTAAAGCTATCCTTGCTTCCATATCAACAGAGAACAAGTGTATGAATTATCAGGTCTTTACATAAGAAAAATGAAGCCTTATTAGTCTTTGTGAGTAGAGAAAGAATTTAAAGCTTCTTAGATGAAATTAAGAACAAATCATCTTAGACCATCTTTGTGAGTTAGGGGATGTTTGCCCAGGGCTATATATGCCATGATGCTGAAAATTTAGGGCAGATTTACCAGAATTTGAGAGTGATAGAAATGGCCAAAAATGGGAGATGTTGAATACTTTTAATGATAAATTGGTGAGCCAATTTGAATTGGCATAAGAAAGCTTTTTGGTAAAATAATTATATAGAGAAAATATAATTTCCTTTAATTGAGGGCAATTACTGAGTGTTAAAGCATAGTAGAAGTAACTTGAGGTAAAGGTAACTTAAGTTTTTCTCTAAGTAACTTCCCAGCCACTTATGTTTTCTTTTAGTATTTTGGAATTGTTAAAGACAATGGAACCTACATATATGAGTCCCATTGGTAGGTTGAGAATATCATACCGTGGAGAATTTGTGTCTTCAGTTGTCTGTTATCTATCTCCCCCGTGTCCCTTTGGCAACCTTTTGGGTAGGATCATTTGGCAGGGAATAGGGACCCTGTACTATCAGCACCGGTGAAACCATCTCTGGCCCACTTGATTGAATATGTACCAGACTCCTGCAGTTGCTTTATATTTTTTCATTTTATAGCTAAGAACCACTGTTTAATGCTCTCTTTCAAGTTGTTCCTGCATCTTCCATAGTTGTCACCATTTGGCATTTAACAAAATGGATGTATTCCAGTTGTACTTGCCCAGTGTTTACTTAATACATATACATTTTTTCCTCGTCTGTTTTGGTCCCCTTCTTGATGGCAAAAGCTATTAATTTTAGGCAGAACTATGCCTTGATCTGTAGCTGTGCCTGCTCCCTTTCCTTTGCTCCTCCGTGTTAGCTGGCGGTTTTTCTTTTAAGCAGTTAAACAAAAACGGGATATGTGCAATAGAAATATATATATGTATATTTTAATACTTGTGGACAAATGTTACAAGTTGTTTAAGAACAACAAAATCACCAATGTCTTCCATTTTGAGATGTGTATAGTTTTGTAAGCATTAGTGCTTGGTAGCATATTGTAGTACCATGTTAGGGGTTAGTGCATGAGCCTAGTAATAATTTAAACTTTGGGATGAATTATTGATAATAACCAATAGTGTAAAAAGTGGAAAATCTAGACCTTTTCTTTTTTCATAAATATCTGAATCTGTGATATTCTCCCTGGGGAAAGGAGATTAAGGCTAAAAAGACTCATTTATGAATAGAAATGTGGGGTCACAGTGTGAAATACTGTGTTTGAGGATATTGAAGCTTTCCATCAGGTAGCTGGAAACCAGCTGCCTTTGTGTCTTATGAAACCTCAAGTCAAAATGATGCCCCATTTCATGATTCTCCTTTGCTCTCTTAGTTTGAGGTGAGATTGTTCTTAACGCTCTTTTCACATTGTATGTCTTCTAGGTTTATTATTTTCCCATTCCTTTTGCATCAAGAAATTATTTTATATCTTGCATGTCTTACTGAGATGCTATGCTAATTGCTTAAGTGAGTGCTTTTCTAATCTGCAGACCATTTATGTTTCCTGTCTGCAGCATGCTACGTGTTAACAGAAGAACACTGGTCAGTAGTTCAGAGTGTCCTCGATTAATTTGTCATGGGCTTTTCCTCCTTCCAAATCTGCTGAATTGTGTGTTGATGGGATTCCAGATCTTTTCATGAGAATTGCAAATGTAGCTAGTTGGAGCCTACCTAGGTTGCCCTGTAATAACTAACTCTTTTGCTCAGTTACAGTAAGCTGTCTCAGACAGCTTTCACTTTTTTCTGCTTTCCTTGTGGAAATAAAAGTTTTGTTCTGAAAGCATAAGATAGCTTTCTGTAGAAAAGAAATTCCTACCTCTAAAAGCGGCCTTGAGAACTTGGAAATGGCATTTTTCTGAGGTAATTTTTAAATCGCAGTATTAGGAGAGTCCAGGATTTATTGACACAGATTCTGCAGTTAGCATGATAGGAAATGCAAAACTATTTTAATGTGGTGTGTCTTGTGTGCAGAAGCAAGCTTAAACAAATAGACTCTCCAGGGACCCAGGTTTAGATTCTCATAGTGTACTTAAAGTAGTTTTAATATTGGCTCAAGTAGTTTAGTGCCTGGGAGAATCCATTTCTGAAAAGCATTTAAATATTTTTTTAGATACCTCTGAAAAGGTAATGAATGCAAAATAGCACAGTATATAGGAAAGGATATTTCCTGTTGCAAAAAAAAGCCATAAAACGAACTAATAATTTTCAAGAGGTAGAATTTTAGTAGCAATAACAGTTTTGCATGTATAGTAAGTTGCATTAGCAAGGCTGTACAGTAGAATAAGTATTACTACTTGAGTTTGTGAGCTCTGCGATCAATAGAGTTGCACAAAAGGAAAAGATGTTGTAGGTTAAGAGCATATAAAAGGTACTTTCTTTTAAAACTATGAATGTAAATGAAAATGTCATTGTGTGAGAAATAGCAACTTTTGTGTAAGTTAAAAGTTAAAGACCCTATTTGTTTCCTAGAGCAGAGCATTAGAGCCATTGAATGAAACTTTTCTAGTGCTTAACCTGGAAACAAATGTACTCCTAACTGATGTGGCCCCACTGAAGCCATTGGGTGGGGGTTTTGCTTTAGCAACAGGCATTTATTAAATGGCATACTTTTTGCTTTGTCACCTCGTCTTTCTCCATTCGTTTCCTGGGTGCATTTTAAAAAAGGAAAAGTTTGGGGTGTGTGTATATTTAGGGTTAAAAAAAATACAAACCAAGAACTTAGTTGGCTTTTCCTCACGCCTATGGTTAGTTTAGGGGAGTTAGGATTTAAAGGTGTAAAGCAAAAAGATTGAAGGGAATAGCCAAAGACAATGTGTTGGTTTTTTAAACCTTGTCTAATGTAGATGTGCTGAGGCCTCTGGCCTGTGACTGCTTATTTTAACAAGAACCCAGCAAACTAGTTTCTTGATCTGAGGAATCACACAGCTCACATCAGGATATAATAGTGGAACTAGGGTGATTTCTTAACTCCCTTTTACCTCATGTTCATCTTGGCCATTTAGCACCTTGAAGATCCCTGAAAAGATTGGGTCTATGTTCCCTTGTTTTCCCAGGGAAAAAAACTAAAAGGGGAGTGGCTCTAAGAAAACAGTGCCTCTTGAATATTTAATTCTTATATGGCAACTCCAAAGGATAGAGAGAAGGCTATATTAAATTGATTATAGCTCCTCTTTAAATGTCCTACACCATCAGTTGGTGTTAGAGACATTGGAATAACCAAGCAATATCCAGACATCTGCACGATCATGAGGACAATGCTGCATATTACAGTGATGTCAACAGTTTAGTTACTTAGAACAATTAAAGATTACCCTTAACAGCCATGTTAATAGTTCTAAAGGCTAACATGTGCTACAGGTTTTTGTAGTCTCAAAGTATGCAGTTAATTACTTTTCAGTGCTGTTGTAGTCTCGTGTTTACTCTTTGTGTACCTGTGATATGCAAAATATGAAGAGACCCTTGGCCTCCAGGAGTTTACATTCTCATGGTGCTGCTGGTGCAAGCAAATTGCTTCTAGTTTATTCAGAACATTGCTTGGCTATTAATTTACCATATTTGGAAGGATCGCTTGGCCAACAGTTTTCAAAAGCAGAGGGCTATGCTAAATTTCAGGGTATTGATTTTGAGTTTACATTGTGTTAGCCTTGCTGTTCATAAACTCCTTTCCCCCAGGGAGCTTGCAGGTAATGCTCAATGTGAATCAGAAAAGAAACCATTCTGCCTAAGAGCATCTTCACCATCTCTGTACCACCTATGCTCTTCTATGCTGTAGCTGTCAAAAAGTGGCCAAGAAAACTTAGTGCTCCAGAAGACTGTATATCTCTCAATTCTCCTTCTTTTCCCAGAGTTTTTACATCACTCTACCCAGAGGGACCAGGATTTGCAATTAAGCCTTTTATAACTGAACAGTGGTCCTAATACTCACTTTTTTGTGTGGCACTTTTGTACCTCTTCTGAAGCAGCATTGTGGTAGATATGGAGCACCTGCCTGCATTTCTAAGCAATCACTTTATTAACCCACATTTTTAGTTGAAACTGCATGTATTTTTGTTATTTCCCCTAATTCCTCTGAATCAAGGGGTTTACTCTGCATGTTTATTAAAATTGGGTCTGGATTAAAGTGCAAGCAATAGTGGCAGGCCCATAACTCTGATCTTAGAGTACTAATATCCTAATGCATGATTGAAAATGTCCAGTGTTATGTGGTTACTAGTATTGATATATATGTGCATTTATTAATAATGAAGCAATAGAGACTTAAACCGATAGCTTGAGTTTTTTGTTTGGATTATTTTCATTTTCTAATTAAAAATTATCTTACTTCCATTGAAAATGGGAGCTCGAAGATAACAGGGGCAACCACAAGACATTCAAACTGTCAGGAATAGAGCATAATAATGCTCACTGTCTAACCTCTTGCCTGGTTCCATTAGTCCCCACGCATGTTTAAAAACAAAACAAAAGGCACAAACTAAGCATGTTGAAGAATAAATAAATAAGCTGCTATGGCTTTAATAATCAGAAAGGTGCAGAGTTTCAGAATAGATAGGAAAGTAGGGAATCCTGGTGTGGAGCATGTAAAATAACTAGGTATGTGGTTTGTCAGATAAAGTTTACATGGCTTAGGTTTGGATCTCTCTTTTTTTTTTTTTTTTTTTTGTGAGGAAGATCAGCCGTAAGCTAACAGCCATGCTAATTCTCCTCTTGCTGAGGAAGACCGGCTCTGAGCTAACATCTATTGCCAATCCTCCTCCTTTTTTTCCCCCAAACCCCAGTAGATAGTTGTATGTCATAGTTGCACATCCTTCTAGTTGCTGTATGTGGGACGCGGCCTCAGCATGGCCGGAGAAGCGGTGCGTCGGTGCGCGCCCGGAATCCGAACCTGGGCCACCAGTAGCGGAGCGCGCGCACTTAACCGCTAAGCCACGGGGCCGGCCCCGTTTGGATCTCTTAAAACTAGTATCTTGGAAGTGAATAGAGGCAATATGCACATATTTCAAATGTTCCAAAATTTTCAGATAACTAGGCACCTCTTCTAGATGGTACTGGTATTGACCAGCTGTAAAGGATCCCTGCAGCAAAGGAGACTGTTCCATTTGGTGGAAATAATCCTAAAAATATTGACATGTCATCTATGGTTTGCTTTCTCTTTTGTTACTGTATTAAATTCTTTGTTACCTTTTTTTTATAGCCAGAGTTTTATCCATGATGTTTTGGTCAGACTGCATAATTTGTTGCCTGAATCTTTTGATGCCAGGTAAACAAGAGCAAGTTTTCTAATTTTGGAAAAAGGAAACCTTTGCCATTTATTTTCTTACTTGAAGAAAATAGATCAGTCTATTGTGGTAGCTTAAGATTTTTGAGAAGATTCTTGACTTTGAAATAACCCTTAGAAATACAAGTGATCATGACAAATAATGTAGAAATGGAATTCATTATCTCTGAAAGAGGCCTAAATAGATTCAGGATTAGACTAGATGATTTTCACTAGGTCCCTTCCAGGTTTCACATTCTGTGATTGGAAAATATGTTTTCCAAAATTATTTTAACCTCACTTTCTTTGCTCTGGGATTTCACTCCAAACACCTTTGGGAATGTTTAAGTGGAATGGTAACTTTCCAGTAGTTTAGAATTGAACTGACAATTTTCAAAAGGTTTTGTCTCCCTTGGTGATGGTATGCCATGCCATTGATTAAAATATATTTTTCTCCCAGAGATAAGAAAGGTATTCTGACAGTACATTATCATCAGTCATTAAAGAGCAGTCTTAATACTTACCTTAAAACTACCCATCCCTTGTAATTAAAGATTCACATTAGAGCACTTCACATTAGAGTACCTTTCACATGGAGTTTTATTTACTGTCCTGTAAGTACAGTTGTTGCTCACTGTTTTTACTTGCTGTTCCGCATCTTCTCCATTGCACCATTGGTATATAAGATAATGTTAAAAGAATTTCATGGAATGTTTAACGTATTACAAAAGGCAGCTTGCTTTTTAATCTATGCATCTTTGGGATTTAAGAAGAAATTTTATTCTTTGATGTAAAAAGGAACTGCTGTAAGAGTTGAAACTCTGCACCTGTGTATATGTATTTTTTGGCAATAAAGCAGCATGGGCTGAGAATACACTGAAATTTCACTGTGTGTTGTTACTTAGAATGGGTAATTTCTAATAACACAGTAAATTACGGAGATTGGAGAAGGGGCCTATCCACAGACCTGTGCTGAGGTAGGTTCCAGACGTCAAAAAAGACAAAGGACCTGGGTTTCTTGATAGAGTGGTGGCAGTTTCTGGTGTAGTCCAAGGGAACTTCTGGGTAGCCATCTGAAGAAAGATGCATCCCATGTAAACTTACGCCATTCCTGTTTTACATTCAGGACCAACCTTAAGCTAGGTCTATGAGCAAATGAATGTTTAGTTTCTGGTAAGGAAATAGTGAGCTAAGGACAAGAATTATACAACTATTGCAGGGACTCTTTCCTATCTGAAATATATAAAGCATTAAAGATGCTTTTATATGTAACATTTAAATGGCTGAGTTAACTAAAGAGGTTTTAACACTATAATTAAGAGATCCTTCTCTTGATTCAGGGAAAGGAAAGGAGTTTTTTTCGAGGTTAAAGAAAGTAGACATTACAAACTTCTTTGGGATTGGCTATTGTCAAATGGAGAAGAACAAAAGCTATGTGGTTTTTGTGGTGTGACTACTAATGTAGTGCCTTTGATTTATGAGACTATTCATTTAACACACACTTAATGATACACTCTACTCCGAGGCACTGTGCTAGATGTTAGGGTTACAAAAATGGACATGTTTCTGCCATTAATTAAGGAGCTCAAAAGTTTACAACTTGGGGACATTTACTATGCAATTTTATTGTTCTTATAAGTACATGGAATTTTGAAAATACTTTTATTCAACATATATACAATGCTTAAATGGTATCAAACTGTAGTAAAGTAGTCTTAGAATTTGTTAATATCAGCCAGTCTCTCAGTGATGTTTGTCAGACTTCCAGAGGAGCTCTTATACCACCTAAAGCTTGTTAAAAAAGTCAGCCATTTGTATTAATTAGTATAACATTTATGGAAGGCATAACATCAAAATTGTAAATGTACATGCCCTTTGACTCTGTCCCACTTTAAGAGTCACTCCTACAGAAGTATCAGTACAGATATGCAAAGATATGTACAAAGATCCAATACAAGAATGGTTAAATTTTGATATATTCACATGTGTTTGTGTATGGGCTGGTATAGAACGTTGTCCATGACATTTGTGCAAAAAGCAGGTTGCAGAATATGGAAAATATAATTGCCTCTATGTCTATAGGTGTATATCCACGTGCATGAAGGTTACAATAGCCAGTATTTATTGAGCACTATTTACATGCTAAGCACTGCTCTCATTACATTAGATGTATTCATGAACTCATTTAATCCTCATTCTAGCCCTAGTTATTTTTAATAACTATTTTACAAGAAGAGTTTAAGTAAACTCTTCAAGTTCATGGCTAAGTACCCAAACCACAATCTGAATACAAATAGTTTGGCTCCAGAGGCTGCTCACTTCCCAGCATGCTGTACCGTGCCTCTCAAAAATGGAAAGGGAGGTATACTTTCACTCTTTATTTTGTCACACATCTGTATCTGAATTTTTTTCTAGAGTTAGCATGTAATTTGTATTTGGAGGGGAAAAAAAAATCTATTTAAAACCAGCCAGCTTAATTTGATGTCAAGTTCAAGCATTTGATTTTCTATTGAAAGTCCCTACCAAAAGGGCAAATCCAGAGGTTAAGGAAAATAGCTACATAAGGTTTTTGTTTTTGTTTTCTTACATAAGTTTTTTAATTTAGATAAAGAAAGGAAATACGTTGAGGCAGACATAGCCACAAACAATAAAAACCCCAGGATGATTCAACATAGCATTACTTTATTTGGTCCCATTCTTTAGGAGCAGAAAGTAACTAAGAACTCTTCTGGTACTGTTTGTTGCCAGAGGCTTCACCCCTGCTTATAGAACCAAAATTTGCAACCTAAAAGCAGTAAGCAAATCAGAATTTTCTCCAGTTTGAAATATTTTAAAGGAAAATACCCTTTATGCAGTATAAAATGGAAATAAGCTGCTTTAAAAGTCTGCTAGCTCACCTGAACCAAGTTAACTTCTCTATGCACTGCCACTTGGCTAGATCATCTCTTGATTGTGCTAGTGCCAGTCCCTCCCACCCATTCTCCACAGGACAACCATGAGTTTTTAAAAAAGAAAATTTGATCCTGTCATAAGCCGCCTCCTTTAAAATTCTTCAAGGGCTTCCCATTGTTCTTCGGATAAAACAAACATCCTTTAGGACCAGTAAGACCTTCACCCTCCGGTTTCTGGTCAGTGTTGCAACTCCTGCAGGCCTTCTTTTAAGGGTCTCACAAAGCCTTTGCAGAGGCTGTTCAGAGGCTGTTCCCTTCATCACCGTTAACTCCTACTCATCTTTCCACCCACTGCTGACACTTCGCCTCCTTAGAGAGGCCTCCCCTGACCCTCAGAGCAGGTCGGTTCCCTGCTGTAGTGCTTGTAGCTCCATGTCCCTTTTCTTCCAAACCCTTACTACGGTCGTAATTCTACATGTCTTCATGTGCTTCTTTGAATGTCCATCTCTGACAAGACTATAAACTCGGTGATCATAGAAGAGTGGCTCTTTCTGCTTACCTTTTATCCCCAGCAGCTAGCATATGTTATATTTATTAAATAATATGATAAGCTACTGACCCAAAGTGCTACATAAAGCAAAATATGAGAAAACAGCATTTCAGTGAACGTTTGATGTTTTATCATTCCTTTCATTATTACCCTGTTAAGCTCAGTTTGCAACTAAAAAGAGAAAGATAAATTGTATATTATCCAGTCAACTTATTGAATATTACCTACAGAATATGTATGTACCTCTGTTTAACATAAGAAAAAAATGACTTCTCAGTATTCATACAACAACTGCTCCACGTAGGAATAACAGTAGTAACACTAAGTACAACTCTCTTTTCGGACCAACCATGCATCTTTAGATCAGAGCACTCATGGGACACGGCCTTTTTTTTTTTTTATTTATTTTTCCCCCAAAGCCCCAGTAGATAGTTGTATGTCATAGCTGCACATCCTTCCAGTTGCTGTATGTGGGACGCGGCCTCAGCATGCCCGGAGAAGCAGTGCGTCGGTGCATGCCCAGGACCCGAACCCCGGGCCGCCAGTAGCGGAGCGCACGCACCCAACCGCTAAGCCACGGGGCCGGCCCTGGACACTGCCTTTTAATCCTTAAATTTGCAGTCGAAGATGTTTCCAGAAATAAGTATTATAAACTTGATAAGAAGCTAAAATAAGTTCTTAAGGCAAACAGCTACGAAACCTGGACAGAAGTCTCCTTAGTTTCTCATCTTCTAGAAATAGCTTCACAAACCATTTGGAGAATCAGTCTAGAGATAAACATAATAAACCATATTTCCCGTCCATTCTTTATTTATTTTTTTTTTTAGATTTTATTTATTTTATTTTTTCCCCCCAAAGCCCCAGTGGATAGTTGTATGTCGTAGCTGCACATCCTTCTAGTTGCTGCATGTGGGACTCGGCCCCAGAATGAACGGAGAAGCGGCGCCTCGATGCGCACCCGGGATCCGAACCCGGGCCACCAGCATCGCAGCGCGCGCACTTAACCACCAAGCCACAGGGCCGGCCCCCATCCATTCTTTAAGTCGATCTTTCTTGAGAAATGATCAAAAAGCACCTGTTGTTGAAGACAGCAGTAAAGCCTGACCCTGATAACAAGCTTTGGTTGGATCAATTTTCTGGCTTGGACTGGTTTAGAGTCACTTCCTTCAGAATTTTCATCAGTGAATTTAAGCGAGTATGCGTCAACATTATCTTCTCTTTTAGCTGGGAAGAGAAATATGTAGATATCAGTGCATCTTAAGCTTAACTCTATTTGCTGGTTCTAGAAGCCACTTCAAATTTAAGCTAGTGATTGGGAGCTGGCAATGTCACAACACATTTCATGAACACATTTGTTCTCTTTCTGAAAGAACTTTATACAATAAACCTAGATAGAGCACGATAAGATCCTCAGATATACAGTTTCATGTGAAAAAAGAACCACTGCTGAGCATCACTGCTTCCCACCTCCCTCCCTCCTACCCCTTATCATCAGGTTTAAACTCCAAAAATTGGGAAGGAAGGCAAGAATAAAGCAAGGTAAGAGAGCCTATGGACACAGAAACATCAACTAGTCTTCCCCTCCTTTTCCAGTGGCAAGAATCTAACTTTTTTTTTCTAACTCTTTGTTCACGGTAACAAATGCCTTTCTTTCTTTAATATTCTGCTAACGGTCTTCAAAACTAAGCTAAAGTTTTTAGACATATTTATAATAGCTGCTTTGAAGGCTTTGTCTGCTAAGTCCAACAGCTGGGCCTTTCAAAGGCAGTTTCTGATGCCTGTTTTTAATCCTGTGTTATGTCTCCTAATTTTTTATTGAAAACTAGACATTTTAGATAATATATTGTAGCAACTCTGGATAGTAAACCCCCGACCCTTCTGGTTATTGTCTGTTTATCTGTTTGGTGAGTTAGCTAGACTTCTGTTGCTATCTATTTTCCTCACAGTGTGCAGCCTCTGATGTCACTCCTCAGAGGACACAGCCTAGGGCATACACAGTCACCCTGGATGACAGTGGTTTTAGCAGGGCTCTCTTTTGACTCTTTCCCTGATCTCTGTGTAAGCTGTCTGCCTCTGTTGGTATCACACCCAGCTGTTAGCCTCCACTAACTGCTGGCTGATTGCTCTATTGTTTTTGACAATGCCCTGAGACATAAACTGCTCCACAGTCTACTCCAATTAAATTCAGACTCCTTCGTAGGGGTGGTCTTTGAGGCCAGTCTTTTTTTGTTCCAACTCCAGGAGGGCTCTTCTTAGTTGTTTAACTCTCTGATTATCTCTTATAAACTTCTAACTAGTCTGTGGTTTAGCTTGTTGCTCTCATGGAACTACTAGCTTCCTCTTAATTGCTTACCACCAAAATCTCCATTGTTTTGGGCAGCGCCCTTAGACTGGAGCATCCCTACACTGTTTCAAATAATGTCAGTTCCTTTGGGAGAGCTTCAGAGCTCTGTTTTTACAATATGCCTCTTAACCTGGGCTCCCAAGCTGGGCGTGGGGGTGGTGTCTCTCAGGATGACACCCCTTTTACAAGCAGGGTGCTGGGCAGAGATGGTAGCTTCTGCTCTTCTCAGCTTGCCTTTGCTAGCATGAAACCTCTGCCCTCTGAGCAAGGGGGGCAAGTGTGAATGGATTCCCAGTACTCTTAGCCTACTATGCCTGTGGTAGAGCCTGTACACTACAAATGGCTGTTCTTGCCTGGAATAGAGCTTCTGATGAGAGATGCTGGTAGACTCCCCCTCCTAGGAAGATAACACAGCCCTCCACTGGTAGCTGGGGGGACAAAGATCCCTGTGTTCTTGGCTATATCTTCCCAGTTGGAGCCTCCCTCCCTCTGAGCTGGAGGGACACGGGAGGGAGGGAGCAAGTTGTGGCTCAAATGCCACAGGCTTCCTGTTCTTACTAAGGTTTAGTAGATTTTCTTGAATAAATGTCTCTTCATTTGCTTTATGCCTTATGGAAAATTTCCATAGACTTAAGATGGTTGTTTTCTTTATAATTTTCTCCAGTTATGGCTGTTTTGCTGAGGAGGGGAGTCCATGGGGCTCCTCAGGACACCATTCTGAAAGTTATCTCCCGTACCAATTATTTTTAATCACAATATTTACTGACTCCCCCTAATCAACTTAGTTGTTTAGAGCAAGGATTGGCAAACTATGGACTGCAGGATAGCCTGCTCCCCATTTTTGTAAATAAAATTTTACTGTAACACAGCCACACCCATTTGTTTATATGGCTGCTTTTGCACTACAATGGCAGAGTTGAGTAGTTGAGACTGAAAGGTCACAAAGCTTAAAATATTTGTCATCTGGTCCTTTACAGAAAATGTTTGCCAACTCCTGGCTTAGAACATGGTTTCATGAGCTTAGTTAATTATGGGGAAAAAAAAAAAAAAAATCACCATTCCCCTGTCCTAAAAGGTACTTAAACTTTGAAAAATAAATGTCACTGGTTATTAAATGTTTAATTAGCAAGGAATAAATTATTAATGCTGGGCTGGCCCTGTGGCTTAGAGGTTAAGTGCGCGCGCTCCACTACTGGTGGCCCAGGTTCAGATCCTGGGTGCGCACCGACACACCACTTCTCCGGCCATGCTGAGGCCGCGTCCCACATACAGCAACTAGAAGGATGTGCAACTATGACATACAACTATCTACCGGGGCTTTGGGGGGAAAAAAAAAAGGAGGAGGATTGGCAATAGATGTTAGCTCAGAGCCGGTCTTCCTCAGCAAAAAGAGGAGGATTAGCATGGAGGTTAGCTCAGGGCTGATCTTCCTCACAAAAAAAAATATATATATATTAATGCTACTAAAAACAAAACCAACAGTAAATTCTAAGTTTGTTCTTCCGAGGGTAGTAAAGTTATAGCCGAATTTCCACTCAGAATGAGTCAGCAGGCTACCAAAACAAAGTTGCTTTCTTCACCTCAAAACCATCAACCACTAGTAAAACCCATTTAAACAGGAATTCTTTTTTTCTTTTTTTTTAGATTTTATTTATTTATTTATTCCCCCCCCAAAACCCCAGTAGATAGTTGTATGTCATAGCTGCACATCCTTCTAGTTGCTGTATGTGGGACACGGCCTCAGCATGGCCAGAGAAGCGGTGCGTCTGTGAGCGCCCCAGATCCGAACCCGGGCCGCCAGCATCGGAGCGCACGCACTTAACCGCTAAGCCATGGGGCCGGCCCTAAACAGAATTCTTAATGATCGTTTTACCACTCTTTCCTCTCAGACACCTAAGCATAAGGTGCTTGCAAAGTGGACAGATCTATGAAAGATGCCGGTGTCCCCTCCCAGCACAGAGAGGAGAGTATAGGAATGCAGGAGCAGAGAGCTTTCCGCCTCCTCCTGAACTAGACCTTACAATTTGGCTTCAATATTTTGCTTTGTGTCATAAACTCCATAAGGAATGCTAAACCAAGTATAAAGGATTATCGGAGTGCCACACCATTTAAGCGCTCCCAAGTTCATTGGTACAAATTATCAGGAGTTGTCTGTATTAAAGGAAACAAAACCATCATGAAATCTTACCTCTGCAACCTTTTCTGGTAGTGGTACGTTGTAGATATCCATCTCAGATGCATTTACTATGGCTTTTGTTTTTAAGAGATAGCTAGAGAGAAAATAGGGAGAAAAAATATTAGTACCATACCACAGTTAAGATTATCAATGAACCAAACTTGCCTTCTAAAGCAGTATCTGTCAAGCAAAGACTGCCTTCCTACCAATTTCCATTTCAAAATTCATAATGTATTTTCTAGGAAAAACAAATTCTCCATTAACAAATCATCAGAGAGACTCGGTGCCTCATCCCACCCCTTGCCAGCCAGGAATAAATGAGACAAAATTATCCCAGGACAAACTGAAGACAAAAACTAGGGTCATATGAATAATCGTGATGAGTTTAAGCTTCACACTCCACCAGCAGATCTTGTAGCACAGTTAGAAGGAAAGTAACCACACTGTGACAAATACTGTTGGTTGCCTACTAGGTAGCCATTCCTCACTTCTTTCTTGCTAACAGAATCCAGATATTGTTTAGGGCAGCCATGTGGCCAGTCCTAGGAGATGAATCATAACTGTGTTAAGCCAACTGCAGCAATTGTCACATATTTGCTTTCCCAGCTTGGCGATCATGTGACATAGATCTGGCCAATAATAAGGAAATTTTTGCTGATAAAAGGAGACCATTCCCTGTGTTCCCACACTTCCCATATCCTTTTCCTTCCAGGTGGAGATGCTACTATATATGGATGTAACGCTTATAATTGCAGCAACCATCTTGCATCCAAGAGGAAAAGGCCAAGAGAACCAGAGATGCTGACCCAGAGCCCTGTCATGGCTGAGCCACTAGAAGACTCCTGGAGTGGCCATCTGCCCCTACTCCTTACTTATTAAAGCCACTGTTAGTCAGGTTTTCTGTTCCTAGCAACCAAATTCATTCTAACTGATACACATAGACATAGACTTTTTGTGTGTGAGGAAGACTGGCCTTGAGCTAACATATGTTGCCAATCCTCCTCTTTTTGCTGAGGACGATTGGCCCTGAGCTAACATCCGTGCCCATCTTCCTCTACTTTATATGTGGGATGCTGCTGCAGCATGGGCTTGATGAGCGGTGCGTAGGTCTGTGCCCAGGATCCGAACCAGCGAACCCCAGGCCGCGGAAGCGGAGCCCGTGAACTTAACCACTACGCCACTGGGCCGGCCCCCTAGACATAGATTTATTATCTTCCGAGACTCATGCTACCTATACTTTCCTAATTTCTACTTAATCGAGAAGAATATACTGACCTTTGAGTCCAATTCCTCATTTTAAAGATTAAGAAATTACTTAAAATCCCATAATACTTTTCAAATTTATATTAAAAATTTTTGTCACTAAAAGCTTACTTCCTTAAGCAAAAACTCAATTATAGCTCTGCTGGAACAATTACTTATAACTGTTTCTAAAAAAGATCTGAGGTTACTAATAGCACACATTTAGACATACTTTTCTCCTCCTCTTTAAACTTAATTCTAAATAAAATTATTTAAGAAGAAACTAGATATTGAGAGTAAAATATCAATCCATCTAAGTATATATTTCCTGTTGAAAATTTGCATTGAAGAACAAATGGTATACCTAATGCACACTGAACAACCTCATGGTAAAGGATGGTCTTTATTTATAAGTTTGTTTAGTCATCCATAACTCAGCTAGAAACACCTATCTTAGCATATTAAATGAGAAAAAGGAAACTTTGTTTTATGAAAGGAAAATGAGCTTTGGAGTTAAAACATGGATTCAAATCTCAACTCCTCCACTCTCTGAGCACCAGTTTTCTTCTATGAAGAACTCAGTGAGATGTGCAAAATTCCTGGCACAAACTAGGTCATCAATGGCAATTTTTGTTTTTAATGGTCAAGAAAAGACTTTGTTGGATGTTTCAGTTTGTTGTAATAAACAAAAAAGCCTAAGTAAAATGTAGAATTTACTAGGAAGATGAAGAAATATCCCAAGAGGGGCCGGCCCTGTGGCTTGGTGGTTAAGTGCGCGCGCTGCAATGCTGGTGGCCCGGGTTCGGATCCCGGGTGCGCATCGAGGCACCACTTC